CCCCCCGTTATTATATATATTGTGTTATATTGTATTTGTAATTCAGTTCCAGGAGAAATACGTCTGCCTGAAGAAGAATCTGTTGAAACGCGCAATTTTTGCCTAGGAGGCGTGTCGCTTGCCTTGATGCTTAGCTGAATCACTTTGTGTGGAGAACATAACAGCCTGCTGCATCTCTCATCCTTTACGACTGTTGCAACCTCCATCAGTCTCTTATCAGGAGCAAGATAGTCTACAGCAGTGGTGGCGAACCTATGGCACAGGTGCCAGAGGTGGCACTCAAAGCCCTCTCTGTGGGCACTCGTGCCATCCCTCCAGCCAGGCTCAGACCATCATTAAAGTGTCAAATTATCTGCCAAATAATTTTAAGTAAATGAAAGCATTTGGGATTGCTTTCCTTACTTTGTTTGGATCATCTTAAGTTAATGTATGAGTTGTTTTTTCTAAAGTAAAACCTCAGCATTCAGGTTAAGTTGCCATGTTGGCACTTTGCGATAAATAAGTGGGTTTTGGGTCGCAGTTTGGGCACTCGGTCTCTAAAAGGTTTGCCATCACTGGTCTACAGCATTGGAATAGGTCCTCTGTAGCTGTGGACTTTTCTATTAGTAGATATATAATGGGACTTTAGGTTTTTGCACTATAATGAATGTGTGTAAGATATACTAGGGTCTCTATTGTATGTAAATCAATATATGAAGACACAAGTGCATATTAGTAGAGTGTGTTTTGTTCTAACACGGTGTTTCTTTATGTTTGTCCCACCTGGAGGACGGCAACCCTACGAAAACTTCAAGGGAGACTCAGTACATGAAATGCTTATTTTGTGCCTCTGCTCTATTTCTCTGGATTGTAGCGAAGGCAGTATGGTTTGCACGCAAGACAAAGAAGAGCGGAAAAGCAACTGAGGTCAGAGCAACAGTGGTAAGTTCAGGCACATTTTTGTACTGGAGATCAAACTGTAGTGTCGCCAAGAATAGCAATGCTATTTACTTGCATAAGGGAACCAGTGCAGTTTGGTGTCGTGGTTAAGTAAGTGGACTCTAATCTGGGAGAACCGGGTTTGATTCCCCACTCCTCCACATGAAGCCAGCTGGGTGACCCTGGGTCAGTCACAGGTTCTCTCAGAGTAGTTCTCTCAGGAGCAGTCCTCGAAAGAGCTCTCTCAGCCCCATCCACCTCACAAAGTGTCTGTTGTGGGGAGGGGAAGGGAAAGGAGATTGTAAGCCACTCGGAGACTCCTTTGGGTAGTGAAGGGTGGGGTATAAATCCAATCTCCTCCTCTTCTTCTAATGGGAGATCTCAAACCAGTTTAATACAAAAAAAATTAATCTGCTATTTCAAGAAATGTAACAGGGTATACTTCTAGCTTACCAAACAGGCACAACATAGAGATCATGAGGTAGAAATCACTCTTTGTAGAAGACACTATGGCAGCGGTCACACACACTACAAAGTCCACGTTCAATGCACTTTCCAACTGGATTTTGCCAGGTAACACAGTAAAATCCAGTTGGAAAGTGCACTGAAAGTGTGTGACCACGGCCTATGAAGCTCAAATAACGTTTCAAAATGTTAGGCAGTCAGAAACTAATGACTGGTATAAGATTTCTTTTTAGATGTTGACAATAAGGCACATTTAAATACTTTCCAAAGTATTTTAATTCACTTCCTCCATTCCTTACACTTTTGTGTGCAAGTTACACACAAAAGTGTAACTGTCTAGGGGCAGTTACAATTCCACTGTACCTTATCAGTATCTTGGGACAACAATATCATGTTCTTTCTCCTCCACTTCCCATCCCCAATGGTAAATGGTTAGATGCAGGTACAGACAACTGAAGTTATGGTCAGTCACGCCTTTGGTATGTTTGCATCTGGTGAGTTCACATTTTCTTGAAATAGAAAAACCCATTAAATTCAATTCCAACTTTTAATAAATCTTCTTAAAATAAAATATTTGAATAACAGTCATTCTAGAGAGGTGGTATAACAGGCTTCTGAGAAGGATAAATTTGATAGCAGGGAAGTATGAATCTCAGTTAAGGGTCACAGATGTAGAAGCCATCTCAAACTTCCTCCAAAAAATGGATGCTGATAAATATCAAGTAAAAAAAATTTTTTAGCAGTACATATAACCAGTTCATCATCTCAAAAACTGCCTCCCCTTTGTGGCTTTTTTCCGGGGCCGTACACAGTCATCATCGGAATCGTCCATTAAGTCTGGACTACTGATATTTGCGTGGCAATATGGCCGGGCAGGAAATATCTTGTCAGCATAAATGTTCTTCAGAAGTTCCTCAAAGTAGGCTTCCAGCTTCATGCCGGCATTTGCCACTTCTGAATCAGGCTGTTGGGGAAATTCAATACAACCAATGTGTCAGGTTTTTACATTTGCACTACTGGAATATTACAAACAGACTTTTCAAAGTAATGGTCAAACACCACTGACATAAATCAACCAATAGGATGATTTTAACAGACTGCTTTAGCATGAGACACTACCCCAACTTTCCAAACACCACAAGATTTAATTTGGAACATGTGCATTTCTCTTTTTAAAAGGGTGTGTGTGTGTGGGGGGGTAAGACTAACAGCACTCATGCTACTAAGGGATCATGGTATCCATTTGTTTGTACTGTAAATGCTATTGACGTACAAGAGTGACTACTTTAGCCAGCTGTGGATGTACAAGAATAACTACTTTAGCCTTTGGAGCCTCAAAGCAGTTCAGGCAGCCAGTTTTTGGTTCAGGCGTCTTAAAAGAGCTTTTTCACACAGAAAAACTCACAGCAGTGATACTCGCTCAGTGGCTCAAAAGCCACACGTGGCTCTTCTGAGCGCTGTTTCCGTTGTAGCACTTGCCTCTTGTTTTAGCAAAGGGGGCGAAGCCTTTGCCCAGGGCTGCTTGGGGTTGGCAGGTGGTTCCCACCTTGAAGCAGCTGCTGGGGGCAATGTTCCCTCTAAGCTGTGGAGTCTTGTGAGCAGAAATGCTACTTTGTGAGCTGCTGGCATTAAAGTTGTGAGCGAGCCATTTGGCTACTGCATAAATCAGTTTGCTCTGGAGCCCTCCTTCCTGAGCTAAGGCAAAAATGTGTGAGCTGGTGGCTAAAAAACTGTGAGCTAGCTCACACTAACTCAACTTAGAGGGAACACTGGCTGGGGGAGGAAAAGGTAAGGTGTGAGCCTCCTTGAGGGGCAAGCCTCAAGCCAGGGAGGGAAGTAAATGGCGACGAGAGCGGTACCTGGTGCAAGAGACTCCGCTTAAGAGTATTGTTTTAGCAGATTCTCCACCAGCAGTTAGCTCCGGGATAGCTGTATATGCCACACTGAGATGCGGGAGCAAAATATCTGGACTCGTGAGTTATCTCCTCTGCCGCTCCATCGGGGAATTCGGAGTAGCCCCTCAACGCCCCACAGCAGCCTGATCCAGGACGGATGGTCGACTGATGTCTTGTCCTTGTCTGGTGATCGGGCTGGCGCCAGTCAGGCGCGTGGTAGCTGTGGGTGCCCATCGGTTGTGCTCCCCACCATTTTGGGGGCGCTCACGACGACAGTTGTTGCTGGTCGATACAGTTGTGCCTTGCTCCTGTGTTCCATCTCCCCTCAATCACCACCAACACAGTCGTATATATCGGCGAGGAGGCAGAGCCGGCGCATCAACTGGGAAGTCTGGGGGATCTTACACCCCCCCGGGATCAGCCCAGCCGCACCCAACTTCGCTGAACTGCATCGGCGGTAGGCTGCAGTACAACAGCAGCAGGCTGCAGGAGCCAGGAGAATCAGGGATCGGGCCAGCGCCAGTTGGGTGTACGGTAGCTGTGGGTGCCCATCGGCTTTGCTCCCGCAACGCGACCACCATTTTGGGGGCGCTCACGACGACAGTTGTCGCTGGCCGATACGGCCATGCCTTGTTACTGTGCTCCATCTCCTGCTGCCCTCAACCACCGCCGATGTGGTTGTATACATCGGCGAGGAGGTGGAGCCAGTGCGTCAACTGGGGAGTCTGGGGGAGCTTACACCCCCCCCGGATCAGCCCACCCGTATCCAACTTCGCTGAACTACATCGGCGGCAGGCTTCAGTACAGCAGCAGTGAAAATGAACAGGGAGACTTAGAGGCTTGCACTACAGCCGACCATCTGGTCTGAGGAGACAGCAAGGAGCGACAAGAACATTGCAGTAACATTATCCCATAGAGAGTGCTGCTGGTTCTAATTATTTACAGAGTGTTAATTCATAGAGTGCTGCTAGCCCGATTAGATAAATTAGATAAATGAATTGTATTTAATTGATGTCCTGGAATGTTGAAATTAATTAATTAATCTTGAGTAGATTATCCTAATTTGATGTGATTAATTGGAATGTGAATTGATGTGATTAATGTTATGCAATTAATGCACTAGTATTAGACTATCCTATTGGTGATTAAGGTGTGATTAACCATCTGACAAATTGGGGATCACAAGTTGAAATAATTTATTGCATTACCTCTGGCTTTTATTTATTAGTTACTGGCCAGTGGAACCAGTTATTATGCCAATTAGTTAGAGGGATAAAGGTATAATGGCTGTTAGGATAGGTTTAGATTGCTGTTATATTGGATAACTGAGATAGATTAGTTATTATTGGATGGGAAAGTGAACTATTGGGACTAGTAGCACTAGGAGAACTGCGGGTAGTACCGTCCCCCCTCATATTACATACTGCGATGGTCAGCCAACCATTATATGGTCTGTGGCTCTGCGAAGACCACTGATGGACGATGGCCGGGCAGGCAATACCAGTGCTCCTGGGAAGTACAGCGTACAGCAGTGGGACTAGGCATGGAGAAGGGAAGAGGACGGAGAATTTTAGCTCGGCCCCCATTTAGGCTACGTCCCATCCCAAAGGTTGCAGGCAGGGGGGCTAGGATGACTGACCCCCCCGACATTGGCGCCATGTAACACCAGGTCTATAAATAATAAGACTGCAGTCCTTCGGGACTTTCTGCAGGAGCAGAATATAGACCTGGCGTGCGTGACCAAGACCTGGGTGCGAGAGGGAGAGACAGTATCTCTCTCCCAAGCAGCTCCTCCTGGGTTTTTGGTCCTTCACCAATCCCGGACTAGGGGGCGGGGGAGTGTCATTATTGATCAGGGAGGCTTACTACTTCAGGGCACTCCCGCCACCAAGGATCACAGGCATTGAGTGTGCTAGTGTTAGGGAACAAGCCTGATATTTGTTTTATGGACTGCTTATTGCTACACAATGGACTGTGCATATACACATAGGCTCAGAGAAATGTACACTTTAGGTCACCTGTTGTGATGACACACATAGAGGGTGCCTTGCACATACCTTACATGTAAATAAGGTTTCAGCAACACAGTTGCCCAGCCTCGTGAAGAAGCACAAATCTCCATTACTGTTAGCAATGAAACAACAACTTTGGGAAGAAACAGCCACCATAGCAAAGCTGCTTGTGGTCACGTATCACCCATCAACTGCTTTGTTCCTGAGCTGGAATTTCCTGCCAGATGGACATTTTGTTATCAATGGAACTGGCCAACTTCATCAGCATTACAAGGAAGCATCCTGACGCCGGGATTTCACACCTGTCCAGATGCCAATACTTCGAGTAAGGTTTTAGGTTACAATATTGGCCATCCCTCCTAGGCAACTAGGGAGTCTAGGGAGTCTAGTAATTATAACTTACTCATAACAAGTCCTATCCCTCTGAAAATACTGTAAGACTCCAAAATCAGGTTTCCTGTCAAAAAACAGTGCTTTCCTAGAAGAATATATACACGAACACATGACAGTATTTCCTAACCTCATTAAACGCAGCACAGTTTTGGAAGATCAGTCGGAAATCAGCTACAACATCTCCTGGTTTTCTATACAATGGGTGATGAACCTGCAGTCTATTCTTGATTGTTGACAAGTCCATTGGCTTCTTAATTATTTTGTAGTAGTTAGGCACCTAAAAGGAAATAGATCAATATTCTCAGGAATAAACACCCAAATGTGTTTTTTTACATTCGTTCCTGGGAAACAGGATACCTACACTTCAGAATTTCAACAATAGACTCTTGTTAATGCATAATTTCTATTATTAATCCAGTAAATGGAAGGCATTCATGTTAGATACCTATTCCCTACTATATAGCTAAACAAAAGCGCCCCTCATCAGATAGCTGATGAAGGGAGGTTTGACTCTCAAAAATTATGCCTCCAAAATCCTGTTGGTCTCTAAGGGGCTACTGAACTTGAGTCAATACAAGGTACTGCCTCTATCTTATACCTGCCCTTGAAGGCAAGTATAAGCTGAGCTATTATGGGTCTGCTTGTTCTAGAACAGGGGTGTCAAACATAAGGCCCAGGGGCCAGAACCGGCCCACCCAGGGCTCTTATGCGGCCTGCAAGCAGCTAGTGCAAGGGATGGGGGGAAGAGGGGTCTGGGGGGGGGGGGGGGGGAGTGGGTGGAGCCACTCCTATTGTGGCTTCAGCATGGTGGAACAACCTCATCTGCAGCAGCAGTCAAGCACCATGGAAGCGTCTGCCCAGTGCTGCACTATTGTCTATCCAGTCTGCACATAACGGGTTTTCCTCTGCACCCCCTTCCCAGCCCCTGGGGCCTTGCAGTGAGGATACACCAACTCGGAGCTCACCAGCTGCTGTCCATTATACAGTTTCTATCTCCGGTACCTGGCATTACGTTTATGGCACACATTTATTTATTTATTTATTTATTTAATTTCATTTATACCCCGCCCTCCCCGCATGCGGGCTCATCCCGTCAAAGTGAAATTTATGTCAGATCCGGCCCTAGTTACAAATGAGTTTGACACCTCTGTTCCAGAACGTACAGCATTTTTATAGAGTCATTTGTTCAAACATCTGAAGGGTTCCTATAGCTCAAAGAACTGCTCCAGACAAAGCTCAAGTACTATAATAGTAAAACATGTTTGAGACACAGATGGAAGCCGAGAGTAAAATGGAAAGATTTCTTTCATGGCTGCGATACTGTTTAAAAAAAGTTTATAAAATCACAGCTGGACTCGCAAATTAATTATTTTCTATGTTTATGCATATAAACAACCAAAGAGATGACACTATTGTTTCTGGTTTTGCCCTTTCAGAAAAGGTACCCTGGCCTTTAGTAACTTTATTAGTTCAAGCTAAACAAGCTGGACTCTCTACTGATCTATGTTAAGTAATTGTGGGAGTTGCTGCTATAGTTTTAATGAGAACACATCTGTATGAAAACTAATTCTCTAGCCCAAAGCCCTTCAAGTTAACAAAATGCACTGCAGATTGTCTCTCTAGAATTTACCTGAGTGACGTTCAGTAAAGATATAAAAATAGAAATTCAGTTCTGGGTGTCTACCTCAATGAATGTCTTTGGGGAAACACATATTCAGCTTAGGGAATTATTGCCTCAACAAATGACTTTTAAAAAAGCAAAAACAAAACCAGCCCTGATTCCAATGACATGTTACATAGAATTAATGTTCCCTCTTACTTTTTTTATTATTTACTTATTTTGTCTGCCTTTCTGGCTGGGACTCAAGGCAAATTACACAGAATTCAATCAACTGGATGGGACTTCCAACAGAAAATGCAATAGGAGTTGACTTGGAGACATCTGGAACCAACTAAAAATCAGAAACTATGGTGAAGCAAAGCCTAAGTATTAGCACACACATTAAATTATGCAAAAATTACACAGTAGGGACCGACTTACAACAACAGATAGTTTGAACTATATAAAGTGGTGCAGTTTACAGTCCCTAACTCTTTACCCTAAGCTTATTGGAATTATTTATAGCTCTGATAAGAACTATTTTGACTAATGATAGGTGCCAACTGATATTACAAAAGTCTAATGGCAAATAGTAAAGTGACAACCATACCGTTGGGGGGACAGGCTCTTGAAAAGCAAGGCTCATCGCATGGCAGTAAAGGCACAGCAGCAATTTTTCACACTTCTGTACAACAGAAGAGATCAGTTACTCAAAACACCAACAAGAAGAGCTAAAACTGCTTTGTAGTCTCTGTGACAGGCACTGTAATGATTCCATGTTTTGGTGTTCAAATGTTAGTTTGACTGCAGTAATGCAAGGAGGGCGATAGAGGGAGACGAGTGTGCTGTGATTGGCTGATGACTGAGAGTGTGGCAGGAGATGTTCTGCGAGGAATCTCTCTGTGTGTGTTTTATGACAGGGAGTTCTGTGTACGGGTCTTTGGAAAGTGAAGTGTGGAAGAGCTATGAAGAGGGTCTGTGTGACTCTCAATGTTTTGTGAGAGAGTCTATATGGCAAAGAAACAAGGAGTGTAAACTGTGTGGTTAGACAAATGTTTTATCTTGTGTGCCTAAGACAAAGAACTAAGCCAGTGTGGAATTTTGGTGTCTGAGAGACTGTGTGTGGCACCTTGCCAGTTATATTTACAAGTTCCTTTTTCCAGAAACAGTTCAAGATAGCCATAAACCTATTTTGTTCTTTAGTCAATAAATCATATGCCAGCAATCAGTACAGTCCTTCCTCAGGGCCACATAGTCCTCTGAAGTGCCCAGACCCTGGGTCATACTCCCAAAAGAGAGAGAATTGGAATTTTTAATTCCTGGTGGCAGTAGAAAACTACCAAGTTTATATACACAGAGGGTGGTTTAAAGGAAAAACAGTCTCCCCCTATAAGCAAGCACGCCACAGGCACTGTCCCCAACTGAAATGCTGACATTGTGTGGTTCTCCTCCTCCTTCCTCCAAAAGAAAATAATCTTTGATATCAACACATTTTCAATATATATTGAGAAAACTGACTTAAGAATAGACTATTTCCTAAAGCTATGAAGAAAATGTATGCAGTGGAACGAAATGGTCCACACTTTAAACACAGTAATAGATCTTCATAAAAACTGTTTCATTTAAATGAAACTGAGAAGAAAAGGATTTAAATGGGTGGTCAGAGAATGGCACAACTTTAATTCAGACAGAACTAGTTTAAAATCATTTCATTGTTTATCAAAGGGTGACCAAAATGCACTACAGAATTAATTAATTTATTTAAAATATTTCTTAGCCGTCTTTCTTCCGATGGAGCTCAAGGCGGCTTATCGTATTAATGAAATACATAAAACCAGAATTTAAAATTTTACTGAAATTACAATCAAAACATGAGATTGTAATGTGTGTTCAATCATAGTTATTGAGATTGCAAAATAATGTACATGGCCGGAGTGCATTCTCAAATTCTCTGTGTCTATTAAAAAACAACAACATACAACTGCTGACCATGTTCTTTTCTGACTTCCCCCCACACACAAAATTTGCAAAATGAGCATAAAGCAATTGTGTTCTCACCCTCTGATCTGAAGGAGACAGTGCCATACTGCCATCCAGTTTTCTTTTGCCTTCAGACATACGACTTAGGCCATCATAATCATATTCAGTTTGTGAGCTGTACAAATCACGGCAGAATGTGCAAATCCACTCTCCACTGCATTAATGGAAATGATAATGATGATACTAACAACAACACCACCACATCCCGGAGTTCTGAAAGCTCCTATTTATGTTCCTACCCATCCACCCCACCCATGTTCCCCCTGCCACTGGATGGCTGGTCACCTACACCAGTAGTTCCCAATAGGGTGTGTATTCGGTTTACCCGAGCCTGAAAAATACCCGGCAAAATACTTTACCGGTATTTCCCGGGTATTTTTAAGCTGAATGCAGATCAGAGATCTGTATTCTGCTACCGATATAATTGACCCCCCCCCCAAAAAAAAAAAGTTGGGGAGGGTGTTGGCTTTTATTTGGGTGCACTCAGCTATACCAAGAAGGCATTTGAAGAGACCACAGTCTCTTCAAATGCCTTTCCTCTCCTCCATTGAAAGCAATGGAGGATGGGGGGCAACTTCTTCTGGGGCCCACAGATTTGGACCCCCCGGTACAATCTTTTTCAAACTTGGGGGGACGGCTTGAGGAAAGGCACCAGCAGCTATGCTGCAAATTTGGTGCCCTCAAAAAACAGGCCCCCTGAGCCCCAGATACTCCTGGATCGATTCTCCATTATACCCTATGGGGACCAAGAGTCCCCACTGGGTATAATGGAGCCAAAAAATTTCCGGTTTTCTGAAAAATTCCCGAATCCCAATGCCATACTGATACTGGGATTTGGGAATATGAAAACAATATTTTTTGAGTTCAATATATCTAAACCCAGAAAATACCTTTTTTTTTTTTTTTTTTTTTTTTGCATACCCCTAGTTCCCAACCTTTTGGGAATGGTGACCCACAAGTTCAAATTTACTTGGTATGCTGAACCATCCAGGGCTGGCCCAAGGTTTTTTGGTACCCTAGGCAAACTATGACCTTGGCACCCATCTAGCCCAACGTTCCATTTGCTAAACGGATCCTTTTTTGAGAAACCAGCAAACATGGCACAAAGGGTGCAGCTGCCCCCATTATGAACCCCAAGCAAGTGGCATTGTGACATATATAGTCTCTGCATATGGAGGTGACGTTCCAGCCTTTGACCACCCTCTCCTTCTCCATTACTCCTTCTAATCCCTCACTCTAGTGACCATCAGGAAATCTTTTACCTGAGCAACATGTATTTGCATTGGAAACCCACCCCCCACTTATATGCATAATACTTTTTTCAGACTTCAGAGTCAGACCTTGGTTTCCAAGACATAAAAGAGAGCAATGGAAAGAAGAAGAGGAAGAGGAGGAGGAGGATTGAATTTATACCCAGCCCTTCACTACCCAAAGGAGTCTCAGAGCATCTTACAACCTCCTTCCCCTTGCCCTCCCCACAACAGACACCCTGTGAGGCAGGTGGGGCTGAGAGAGCTCTGACAGAAACTGCTCTTTTTTTCAAGAACAGCTCTGACAGAACTGTGGCTTGCCCAAGGTCATACAGCCAGGTGCAAGTGGAGGAGTGGGGAATCAAACCCGGTTCTCCCAGATTAGATTCCGCGCACTTAACCACTACACCAAACTGGCGTGGGGCAGCCATTAGGGAGGGCTGGCTCGCAACGCACTTTCAGAGGCTCCACAACCTACAGGTAGGGAAGCACTGATCTATACTGTTTGGCACTTCTGCTCTTGAAACAAAGCACTTTCGTCTACAAAGAGTTTTAAAAGAAGACACCCCAAGAATGAGATGTCTGAGCCCTCCCCATAGTTTCATGTGCTTTGTACCTTGGGAAACTCCTGAGCACAGGAACATGGCAGGAAAGGTGGAACACTTTAGGACACCTGTCACAACACAATAGCTCTCCTCCGTTCTGACACACTGCACACCAGTCCTCATTGGGGTCATCATCTTTTCTACCATCTTCAGTATGAACTGTCCCAGTCCATGTTCCCCTGCCACTGGACTGCTGGTCATCTGCACAGCCTGGAGCTACGGTTCCCAAGACTGCTTCTTCAGAGCAGTGATTTTGATTGTTATCCAACAGCAGTGAGGTAGCTAAATTCCTTGAAAAACTGGTCTGCGGGGAAGAGGAAAAAGCAGAGTCCAGTTTCAGAAAAATGTTACACTACTTTTTTCTATACACGAGTTTAAAAAAAAAAATCAGAATGTCTTCTTTACAATAAAAAGTTACAATATGCCCAATGGAATCAACCGCTTTATTTGGTTTGATGTACAACTTTAGAAACTGCTTACAATCTCTCTCTGGCTATCAAATGCAGACATTCAGATCTTGAGTGCAGAAGAGGTTTCTTTTAAATGTACAAACTAAATAAATGCATAGCGCAAGTCCTAGACGACTGCTCAGAGATCAATACATATGAAGAATTCCCTCCAGACTTCTAGCTTTGAAGCAAAATGTTAGCAATTTCGCTACTTTCCCAATAAATCAAAATTACCCTCCTACGTTTTGACTCCGGGATTCTTCATCTGTGTCTTGCTTCACGGTGACAACTGGGAAACCATAGCTCTCACTTGGCATACCGGACTCTTGCTTTATTCTGATGGGCCCCAACATAACTACTGGGACTTTCTGGGTTGAATCAGCAACCGGCAGTCTGCTAGAGGAGCCAGAGCTACACAAGAAAGACACAGTGGGGGAAAAGAGGAAAGAACAAGCAAAGATGGTTTTAACATGACCTCGATCTTCTCAAGGACAACACAGTTCTCAGATATGAGTGGGAAGTTTATGAGAATGAAACACTGGACTTCAGTGGATTGGAAGTTATCTTTGGGTGGATTGCGCCTACTTCTTGCTCCATGGGCAGGGCATATGTAATTTTTTTGCAAAGGCTTCCACTATCCTGAGGAGGTGCTTGATCCCCTTATGCCATTCGTGTCTGAGGAAGACTGATCCATCTCTCATAGATGAAGACTGACTTCTCCCTGGAGACCTGTAACTGGAGATACTGTGAAACAGAATGCAAGACAGAGACACCCCTGACAGTCTCCATGTTAACGTAGGGAGTTCCTCTCCAGTTCCTCCTCTGCCAACCAGGGTGGGGAAGGATATCTTCCAATCTACTGATGAGATGAAATCCTCATGGTAAGTCCAATGTTTTGTTCTCCATCAGTGAAGGAAGATATCCTTCCATGAAATACTGAAAAGCTCTATTATCCTGGGTGGGAAGAACAGAGATGAGAGGTTTTCCTGTGATGGGATGGAGAACCAATGAGAAGGCTGCCACCAGGCATCAAAGACTGTTGAGTCTGAGGCAGTGGCCAAGACCATCCTGAAGGAAGTGGACCTCTGGTACAGCTGCTGCAAATGCGCTTGTTTTCTTGTTGTGGCCTCCTTGGCCAGTGGGATTTAATGAAGACAACCTCTGCCACTTCTCTTCATGCTCTGTAGATTGCTCTGATTAGATTGTGCTGGGAAAAACGTAAAAGAGTTCTTTTTGCTGGGTGGCTGAGAGAGTGTCTTCCTCTCCAACAGAAATCTGGAAAGGAATCTTGGCACCTTCTTGATTGGGCATGCAAAGAAATCCAGGCAGGGGAGGCCCGTCCTACTGGTCACTGCACAAGACCCTTGGACTGACAGAGCGTACTCTCCTGGATCCAGGTCCTGCTGACTGAGCCAGTCTGCCTTCAGGCTGTAGACACCCTGAAGTTCTTGAGCTCATAAGAACTCAAGAAGAGCCCTGGATCAGACCAATTGTCCATCTAGTCCAGCATCCTCTCAGTTCCTCTGGATGGCCAATGACAGGTTGCCTTCCCTGAGATAGGAGCCCTGGAGCCATCACTGGAAGAAGCGGAGTATGCTGGGAGGAACAGATATGTCCAAGTGATGATGCTGAAACATGTTCTCTTGATAAGGCAGCAGAAGCCACTGAAGGGGACAAGAGTGGAATTGGGCCCATGGCACAGTTTCTAGGTAAGAGATCATGGAACCCAGCACACATGTCAAGGTAATTAGCAAGGCTTTTTTTGTAGAAGAAGCCCAGCAGGAACTCATTAGCATAATAGGCCACACCCAACAGCAGAAACGCATTAGCATATTAGGCCACAGCCCTGACAGCACAGCTCATTAGCCTATTAGGCCACACACCCATGTTACCAGAAGTGTGGTCATTCAGCCACACCCACCTTTTGCTTCTTATTCTGTTTACCTTGCTTGTTGTCAAGACCCGGGGCTTTTTTGGTAGCAGGAACTCCTTTGCATGTTAGGCCACACACCCCTAATGTAGCCAATCCTAATGAGTTCCTGCTGTTGGGTGTGGCCTATTATGCTAATGAGTTCCTGCTGGGCGTGGCCAACTTGGGAGCCAGCCGGAACTCCGTTCCTGTGCGTTCCTGCCCAAAAATAGCCCTGGTAATGAGGTCTACCAACATGGCATGTAGAAGGGAGTGACTGCTGCCATGAGGCTGAGATGTTCTTCCGCAAGGTTTTCCTTTGCCCCTTTCACCACTGCTAACGGGCAGGAGGCAGTGAAGGCTGCTGTCGATTTCTTCTGTTCCTTTGGTATTTTCTCCCGCTTGTTCCTAAACAAAGCAAGAGAGCTACTGAAGCTCATCTGTCCAGGGAGCAGACAGGGCATGAACTGGGGGAGTGGGGTCCGCTTCTTCAGGTTAGTGGAAATCTTTGCAAAAAATTTACATAGGCCCTGCCCCACAGAGCAAGGATACCTTCCTTCACTGATGGAGAACGGAGTCCTTCATCCTACAGTTTTTCTACCTTCCAGTGAGTAAATGCTATTTTGGAATTGTTTTTTTTTTTAAGATAAATCACAACAGAAACATAAAAACTTTCCCACAAGTTTCAACTATGCTATTTATTTCATTTAGAGCCCACTTTTCTCCCCAAAGCCGCTCACACCATTCTCCTCTCTTCCAGCTTATCCTGTACAACAACCCTGTATGGTAGGTCAGGCTGAGTGTGACTGGCCCAAGGTCACCCAGCAAGCTTCCATGGCAGAGTGCGGGTTTGAACCTGGGTCTCTCAGATCCTAGTCCAACACTCTAACTATTGCACTAACTGCAGTAAATGTACTACTAACATTACTATTATAGCATCAGAGACATGTAAAGAGGATTCCGCCAAGCCCAGGGTCATGGAGCCTTAGCTAATACCATAGAGTAGCGTTCCTCCTACAATTCTTTGACCAACAGACAAGAAGGCAAAGCGTGTCGGGGGAACAAGTATTTGTACACCAAAGAAGTAAGACATTAATCTGCAGTCTGTGCATCAAGGAAATTTTCAAATTTATGCCCATTAGATCAGTTCGCCTTCAAAATGTCACGACGACAAAAAAGTCCTCTGACTTAACCTGTTAATATCTACTTTTCATTTTGCTTAGGTGAATCAATCTTCATGCAGTCATATGTCCTAATTTTCTGGCATTTATACATCTGCTCTTTCTAACCAATATATTTCATCTTTCCATTAATGTTCTGGGAGATTCTCCTCAAGAGACGCAAAACTCACTTGAACCTTACTTGAGCCACTGGTAATAATTTACAAAGCTAATCCTTTGGTTACTGTCCATTTTTAAAAAATTTAATTTGTCACAAAAACTGATGAGTGAGTGGATCAGAAGAAGAGGAAGAAGAGGAGGAGATTGGATTTATACCCCACCCTTCACTACCCGAAGGAGTCTCAGAGCGGCTTACAAACTCCTATCCTCTCCCACAACAGACATCCTGTAAGGTAGGTGGGGCTGAGAGAGCTCTTTTGAGGACTGCTCGTGAGGGAACAGCTCTGAGAGAACTTACAACTGACCCAAGGTCTCACCAGCAGCTGCATGTGGAGGGGTGGGGAATCAAACCCGGTTCTCCCAGATTAGAGTCTGTGCTCCTAACCATTACACCAAACTGGCTCCTAGCTTTCTCTGCCTCCTAGCTTTCTCAAAAGTCCTAATTAAAATGCATTTAATATCTTCTTATTGGCTTGGACAAAACCTCCGACTGCCACTGCTGTGCATCACCTTTTCCATTACTAAGTAATAGTGAATTTATGCCACTCCTTGACCACCACCTCAAGTTAAGCCAACACAAAGTGTGTGTAAAGTGCCATCAAGTCACACGGCAACCCCAGCCAGGGGCTTTCAAGGCAAGTGAGAAACAGAGGTGGCTGGCCATTGCCTTCCTTGGCAGTCCTCCTTGGTGGTCCCCAATCCAAGTACTATCCAGGGCCAAGATCGGGCTGTACCATGCCACCTTCTCTCCCAAGCCTACACAATACATCTCGGCATTTCTTCCTCCAGCACCGTGCACCACATTGATTCTGCTGATAGCATACAGATGCAATTGCACGGACTCACTGCATATTAATGAACACAATAACAACTCCTATGGAAAGCATGGGAGGATTAACAAGTCGATAAAATTCCTGTCAAACTAACAAAGGCACTGCAGAGTCGCCCCTTTTAATTGCTGATCGTTTTTACAGCAAACTCAGAAGGGACAGATATTTCCCTCCATAAAAATCAGAGTCAGGGCTCCATATTCCCAATGGACAACTCTTTCATTGGATAATACGCTATTTGGGGGCTTCCTTTCCTAGATGGTCTACTTACCTGCTTTGGCTCCTGACGCTGGAGGTACTGGGTGAACGAACTGGAGGGTGGGTGCCACAAATAACCGGCCCTAAGTCATCAATGAAAAAGAAATTAGAAACTAGTCTTGCTGTATGCATTCTGTTATGTTTTAAAGCATCTAACATCTTGATCGAAAGATACAGTTCAAAACTGTTTTTATTTTAACAGTGGGAGACCGGGGAATGGACTCACATGGCAGGAGTTCAACTGAAGGCTATGCCCCTCCCTTTGCAGTTACAGCTGTAAAAGCCAGAGCTTGCTGGAGGTGTGAGCCCTGGCTACTGGCTTACAGCCTCACAAAGAACACCAGACTCAGGGGTCATTTCCTGCCAGAATGCACCGGAAAGTAAGGAGCTCAGGGGCAGGACCCCCCACCGCCTTTCCTGGCCTGCCTGCCGAGGTGGACAGGCCAAGGAAGGCCTGCAGAGCCCCCCTGCTGCCTGGGGGGATTTTCCCTTTCCCATCTGGGGAAAAGAAAGAAAGGCATTCTAAACATGCCAGGGATGTCTGCCTGCCTGCCCTTCCCTTCTCCAGTCAGTCTGCCACAGCAGGTTGGCTGGGGAGGGGAAGTGGAGATGGGAAGACATGCCCCCCCTTTCCCCTGAGCCTCTCCGCTTTTGGGGAGAAACTCGGGGAAGTGGGGGGATTTAAATGCCTTTCTTTCCCTTCCCCAGATGGGAAGCACCCGCGGGGTACCTGGAGAAGATCAGGCAGGGAACCCAGGCATGCTTGCATGCCTGCCCTTTGTCAGGGGGTGTGGCATATGCAAATGAATTGTGCAAATGAGCTCCCGCACCTCCTTTTCTATGAAATGACCCCTGACCAGACTGATATCCCTCTGCAGGTGCACAGGACAAAGCAGGGGCTACAGCAGCAATCTGTGGCAACAGAACAGCTGTGACTTCTCAGCATCTAAGCTCTCTAAGCTACAAGCCTTGATGTTATCTTTCATCGTTTGACTGACGGCCACTGACACCGTTTTAGAGGAGCATTTAGCTGCTTAAGAGTTGCCGGGAGGCCTCAATCTGGATCGGGCACAGGATGTGGCGGCACCAGGCAAACTTGTCCCTCCACCCCTCCCCAGGAAGCTGCAGAGAGGCTGTTTCAGCACCTTCAAAGGCACAAGGAGGGAGAAGAGTGCATGGTGCCACTGCGCCGCGTGCCCAGTCTGGATAGGGGCCTTGCGGCATTTAAACATTAAATTCTCCTCTAAAATGGTGTCAGCAGCCACAGGCTGTCCCTTGCCTGCACCTAAGGTGTGGTTTGGCTCTGAAAGTCTTTTAATGCTGGCCTAGTTCTTAAAGGGAAAATATTTTAGGAATGGGCAAATCAAAGCACATGAGTAGCCCTGGAGAATGCAATCCAAAGCCTACATCCAAGCAGAGTAGGAGTGACCTTTTTTTGCCCCAAAGTGTTGTGGGGATGACCATGAAAAACAAACTATGCCCCGGAGCAACAGATTTGACCTTTTTTTTTTTTTTGCTCTGATGCTCCACCACCTTTCCCACGAAATATTGATGACTGTTTTGACTCTGGAGGGCAAATCTGAGGAAAGTAAAGATAATGAACCTTCTAGCCTCAAACAGAGCTGATACCATCGAAGAGGTGGCAAACTTCCTTTACAGAGCGTATAGAAGGAGTTCTTTTTCGGCAGAAGGGGTAGTGAATTAACTGTTTTGCGTGCCTACTGCCTCTGTACCTAAGGCTGCTGCTGTTGTTATGCCAATAAAGGTCTGTTGTGTTGTGTTGTGTGGCTGTTTTGACTCTAACCCGGACCATTTTCTGGGGGCCCAAAAGACAGGGGATCATACGTTAGCAGATGCAACTGTAATAACTGCCGAAACATCCCTTTAAGAAGAAATATAAACCAAGGGAAATAAAAGATTCTCTGTGTGCCAGTCCTCCTGCCCTACGAAAGACAGAGGGAAGGTGCATGAGGGACATCTCTGGATAGAGGTGAGGACTGTTCTCTTGCATGGCCAAATTGACATTACAAATCAGGGGACTGGAATTCAAGCTGTACATCTAACACAGCAGTTCCAGCTGATGTGTTTCCTGGCACCCACTTGCTTCTTGAGGGTTTGGATTTAATCTCCAAGGGGTCTTCAATGGAACAGAAAAAACAAAGAGAGCACAGCCGGTGGCTGACAGCCAGCTGTCTAATAAAGTGCTGAACTCATCCAGGGCAGATGCATCACACCTCTGCACCCTCAGGGTGAGGTCAGATGGGCCGTTTAGTCCGCTTTCGGCACCCTTCAGTAACGGGTTTTATATCCACGTTCACACACCCAACATCTGCGCACCGTCCCCAGCCTTCGCTTTCCGGCTCAAACCCCCTTTAAAACGGAGTATTTTGTTACCAGGTCCCCAAGTGGTATTTTCCTGATTCTCCGGTTCTAGCCACACTTTTCTGACATCTGATCGTTCCTGTGGTGTCGAGCCACTTCCGGTTTAAACCCCCTCCCCGCTCGAAAGCTGCCCGAGGCTTCTGCTTTTCGCCCGCCATTTTTTCAATGCGTCGGCGGTGCGCGCATAGGCGGAACTTTGCCACCGTGTTTAGAAAACCGACATTTAAACGGTCACCTGTTTTAGCGTTTAGATGAGTTCGGGATCTAACGGAGGCCATTTTCGGGTCAAATGTTTAAAGGGAAGTCTTTTGTTGGAGGGGTTGGATTAATACGCCCTGGTGGTTCTGTGCATGTGCCATGATAGTTCCCCCCTTCTATGGAGGGGCGCCTATGTGCATGCACAAACTGAGGGGGGGGGATTTAAAAACCCGCTGACACACGCTCCCGCGCATCGGTAGTGTAGACGCCGGGGAGTGACGTGACTGCGCGGTGAGGCAGGATAAGGGAGGTGTGATCGCGATTATCCAGATCAAATACAATCCAGTTAGAACCGGAGCAGTTTAACCCGCTCTCAGCACACCGTCTGACCGCACCCTCAGTCTGGCCACAAAAGGAGCTTTTTTTTTAAGCCTCTGGGCCTGGCGATCTCTACCCTGAAACTTCACAGGAAGCCCTACCTGGAAGGCCTGGAGATGGCACTGCCGAATTGGGGGAGCGGACGGTTTTGCGTAAAGGTGGTTTGGATTCGCTCTGCTCCAAAATCCCACCTCTCCTGTCAATGCTGTCCAGGGATATAGTTCCTGAACCATCAATCTTTAAAAAAGGATGAAAGCATTTAAGGTAGGTAGAACAGATTCATGCCCTCACTTAGCTCTGACACAGGGTTTTTAATACATCCACTCACTCTAGGACTACCAAAGCACACTACTGAATGCAATATAACTTTACAGCATTAACAAATTAATTAGCATACCACTCATCTATCCAGGCACAATGCATGCTTAGTCACTAATTCACAAATAAATAAATAATCACGCATACTCTACATGTTTAAAATGGATAGTGCCAGATAAACAATAACGTATCTATTTGCCACAGTTACTGCCATCGTTACTGTCACTTCACTCTAGAGACCAGAGAGACACATCTTTGCATAACACTTGGCAAGAATAAATTCTGTGGGACAAGGAAAGAGCCACCTTTGGAGATGCTCTTCTGGAACGGACAAATGTTAGGTGGCGCACAAGCGCGCGGGGGGGGGGGGGGGGGGGGGGACAAGGCTATTCCCTCCAGAGGAATTCGACCCGCAGTTGTGCAATCACACCGTCCTTGGAAGCTGCGGGGGCAGCCCGCCACTGCGTGATCAGACGCAACCACGGGTGAGTCGTGTTATTTTTTTGTTGCAGTTTGTTTCCCATGTACTTAAATGGGGAATCGATGAATCACATCTCCGCACTGAGGGCTCCCTATGGAGTGTGTGATGATGCACATATTGAGAAGGGGGAAAAAACAACGGCACGGAGTCGGGATGGCCCGATCAGACCATCCCAACGCCATGGGAGCGCGCTGGAGCGACCAGACAGGGGAATCTCCATCTGTGGCCCGTTTGCTACCGGACTTTCCCTATTGTCTTTTTACTCCACTTCTGTGGCGGAGCAAAATGGGTTCCCGACAGGTGCGGGGCGCTTCCCAGATGTTCGTGTCTGATCACGCCCCTTAAATCCACCTGGCATTCATGCCTATGGCGGAGCTAATTGTGCGTGTGATCAAATCCTTAGTTTAAGGTCAAAATTGGCTATGCAGCTCGAAAAAAGCCATATAAAACCGTGTACTTTTCTGTTCTCAGAAAGGAGGAAATAAGGATCAACTGGTTGTTCACAGTACTAACACAAACCCTTAAAACCTCCCCAGAAGTAACTGATAGTACAAGACAAACTAGGAAAATGATACGTGTTTGGGGCTGGCCTTAAAAACAAAACAAAACACAGATAAGCTGTCCAGTTCTAGATCTACCAATGCAATACATATTCACCAAAAGTAATACACCTTCTAAGAAGGCAAAATATCCATCTTACATCAGGAAGAGAAGGTAGTATATAGGAATCACTCATTGCTGCGGTCAGATCTATCACAGGTAGAGCAAACGTTTTTTCATCGTATCCAACGGCACTAACAGGACTGGAGGCAGTTGATGAAGTACTGCTGGAATTTGAGGTAGCAACAGAAACTTGTCCACCGTGGATTTGCCACTACAAAAGAACAGGAAACATGTTAAGCACAAACCATTTCTTGCTAGAAGTCTCTGTGTGTGTGTGTGACGTGCTACCTATAGCACAGATGAAGGGGCGTTTTGCTGGGATTCCTTCAGAACATTTTTGTTGTTAATGGTTGATTAGTTACTGCATGTTTTCTTTTATTGTTCCAAACACACTGCTGCCAGGGAGAAATTTCTTGTGGAATGGTTGCTGAAATATTCAGCCACTTCTGATACCCATAAATGAAGACTGTTTCTGAGAGACTTCTGTAAAGCCTGCGCAGTTGACGTCGTTACATTCTTCTTTGCTGTTGCTTTTAAGTCTTAACTTTTTTCCTTGGTGTCTGGCTTATGGGCTGTTAAGCCTGAATAAAGCGTGTGTGAGTCTAAAGAATGAGCTACATATTGATTGGGTTTATGATACTGTTTATTGATAAACTGGGTCAGTTAGAAGATTCTGCACTGTGAATAGACACTTATTTTAACAAATATTAGTGCTCACTGAGAACCTTACCTGATCATTAGAGTAGGTCATTCAAAAAGGAATTGCATATGATTGTACAGATGTCCTTCTTGTATTCAAACTGACTGATAGGTGGACTGACCATGGAAGAAGGCATTTTTGTTGAAACATGTTTTATCAAACTACTATCTAAATTATTCACAGTTTTGGTCAGGGAGATTTATACACCACACATTCCTCAGGTATTTTGAGGAGATTTTATTAAAGCTGTACATTCCCTAACCAGTGTTTTTTGGCGTTGCTGTTTTTTAATCTCAGCCTTTGGGTTGAGTTCCCTTTTCTTTTTTGGCTTCACAGAGACTATACAGCAACAACAAACATTTGCTGCATGTTTATTTGGTCAACAGATCTCTTCTCTGCTTTTCGTTTGATGTGAAACGATAGACAGTATTCCTAGTTCTACCATCTTCTCTAGTAGTCCCTTCTCCAGAGGCAGGCCAAAGGCAAATCGCCTCTGAATGTCTCTTCCTTGAAAACCCTACAGCAGAGGTGTCGAACTCATTTGGTACAAGGGCAGGATCTGACATAAACGTCACTTTGTCGGGCCAGGCCATGTGTGCCATAAAACATAATGCCAGGTACCGGAGATAGAAACTGTATGAAGGAGAGCAGCTGGTGTATCCTCACTGGTGTGTCCTCACTGCAAGGCCACATGGGCTGGGAGGGGGGTGCAGAGGAAATCCCACATAGGCAGACTGGAGAGGCAGCAATGTAACACTGGGCAGATGCTTCTCCCATGATGCTTCACTGCTGCAAAAGAGATTGTTCTGCCGTGCTGAAGCCACAATGGAGTGGCTCCCCCCCAGCACTCCCTCTTTGGCACCAGTTGCTCGCGGGCCGCATAAGAGCCCTGGACGGGTCAGTTTCGGCCCCCAGGCCTTATGTTTGACACCCCTGCCCTACAGGGTTACTGCAAGTCAGCTGTGACATGACGGCACTCTCCATCACCAACCCCTCTTCAACCATTATGAGTCCAAACTTAGAATCCTAGAATGTCAGAGTTGGAAGGGATCTTGCAGGTCATCTAATCCAACCCTCTGCACTCTGCAGGAGCATAGCCGAAAAAGAGCCCTACAACATACCCAAAAGATGGTCGTCCAGCCTCCGCTTGAAAACGTCCAGCGAAGGAGCATCCGCCACCTCCTGAGGCAGACTGTTCCACTGCTCAACCACTCTGACAGTTAGGAAGCTTCTCCTGATATTTAGCCGGTATCGACTCCCTTGTGATTTCCACCCATTAGATCTAGTCTTGCAATCCGGAGCAAGAGAGAATAGATCCGCTCCATCTTCTACATGACAGCCCTTCAAATACTTGAAGACTGCAATCATGTCCCCTCTAAGCCTTCTGTTTCCCAGGCTAAACATACCCAACTCTTTCAGCCTTTCCTCATAAGACTTGGATTCCAACCCTCTCACCATCCTGGTTGCCCTCTTCTGGACACGCTCGAGCTTGTCAACATCCTTCCTAAAATGTGATGCCCCAAACTGGACACAGTCGTCCAGGTGCGGCCTGACCATAGCAATTATGTACAGTTATGGAGGAGGGATTACAAATGTTATGAACAGTTTACCTGTTTAATAGCCTGCTGGGCCAAGAACGCCATCTGTAGTGGATTGGGCCTGCCAGCTAGATGTGGCACATTCTGGTTTTGTGGAACTCTCGCTGGCTGGCTAAGAGGAACTGAGCCATTCGATTTGGGGTTGTGATTCTGAAAGCTCACCAAAAGCGGAGGGGGCTGCTGGAAAGACGAGGCAACCTCATCAGCTAGTTAAGTATTTCCCAAGATGGTCATTGAAACCTCACGAGTTGTAATGATTTACAGAACTGTGTGATTTGCCCTCAACAGAGCACAATGTCGCCCCAATAACAGTTTCATAAGTTGCTTAGCCAATGAGGCAAAGCTACGCAGCAGTATGACAAAAGATACCCTTAACAGCATCTACAAATTCTAAAGAGGGCGCTGAACTTTAAACACTGGTGATTAAACCTTCTTTGGTGGTTTTCAAACAGAGGCTAGATGGCCATCTGACAGTAATGCTCATTCTGTGAACAGTCAGGCAGATCATGAGAGGGAGGGCAGGGAGGGTTGCATCAGTGCTTAGTTCTCATGGCCATTTCTTACATGCCCAGGGAAATGCTGATCACCACTTTGGGGTCAGGAAGCGCTCCAGGCCAGTTTGGCCAGTGATCCTGGAGGTTTTTTGCCATCTTCTGGGTATAGAGTAGGGGTCACCGGGGGGTGTGGGGGGGGGAGGTATTTGTGAGTTTCCTGCATTGTGCAGGGGGTTGGACTAGATGACCCTGGAGGTCCCTTCCAACTTCTATGATTCTGTGATTAAATAATACGGCCTTCATACAACTCTCCTAGAAGCATAAAATCCATGATTCAGATAATGCCTCAGCACACCAATTGGCCGGCTTCAGCTCTCCCTCTGAACCGAGCACAGGTGTCCTCTCCTCTGTGGCCTTGCCCTAATTTACCTGAGGTGGTAGAGGAGGAGTCTGGTGCATGGGCCCTGCAATTCTAGGGTTTGGGAGACCCTCCGGACCTGACCTCCGTCGAGCCTGCCGCTGCCTCTGAGCCGGGGCCTGCTGCTGCAGCGTGTGCTGGAGTCTCAGTTGAGCTAAACTGCTCTGTGCTGGGAACTTGGACAGTTGATCTGAAGGTTTGAAGCCACTTTGTGGCTGTGTGTCTGGTTCCATCACAGGGCTTTTAGGCACGTGTGGTGGGGTTTCATTATCTTCAATTACCAGAGAACCTGGATAAAAATAATTTACTCATTATTTACAAATTAAGGTTTGCACTATTTATACCGTTTTCTTTTTTTTGCCATTAGGCAATGCAATGCTCTTTGACAAACCGGCATCGGTGTCCTTGCCAGATTTCTAATCTAAAGACTTATCTGATGCTGTGAAGCTAGGTTTGTCTAAACATGCCTCTATTCACTTCCTGAGACTGGCAACACTAATAATCAGGGACTGAAGAGATATTTGTTTTAAAAAAAAGTATCTGAAAAACTTCCCCTTATTCTGCTACTCATAATTGATTTCAGATGGCGGATTTCCAGGATGCAACCACTTCCACATAAGAAGGTGCATGTACTATGTATGGACGTAACCATGTGAACGCTCTGGAAAACTGCAACCAATTGGGACATCTTGCCTCATGGGTATACAGCAATTTGTGCATTCTGTGTACACACAGGCACACGATTTCCTACACAGAAATTAATTACAGGGTAGGAAATCACCCTGACCAGTGGGCCGGCTACAAACAAATCAAGCCTATTGGTAAGGAGCGTAACGCAAAAACTGAAAGCATGCACCATTGTTCTGAGGAGGATATCAGAAGCAAGACACTAACACTTATTAGAGTTCTCCAACCATTCCCAGGACACTTAAAAGAAATCAATGACGGACTGTTCAGATGACAGACGTATTTGTTAACATCAATGGTTTCACCGGTAACAAAGCTGGAAAGAGGAAGTTTGTCATACCTAAATTGAGGAGATTTTGGGCCCAGAAGCTAGGATCACAGCGAAACTGAATGGTGGTGTTAGACTTTGGTAGGGCATCACACCTCGCTCTAAGGAGGCATCGCAACCGAAAAGTAATCTAGAACAAAGCAAAGAATGCTGCATTAGTGCTGAAATTTCAATGATCTTCCATAGGCCAGTAAACAGTTGGGAAAATCTATAAACAAACAACCTAACCTTTTCCTTCAAAGTATCTTAATTTGTTTTTAGTTTTACTGTGTGAAAAAAATTAGTTTCTCACTGAATTAACTCTTTTCATAGCATATCATTGCCCAGTTGCCAGAATGTATGTCACATACTTTTAAAAGCCCGTTCTGTTTGAAATATGAAGAGGCAGCAGAATCCCCAGTTAGCCAGTAGCAATATTTTCAGACTTGTACACTAGCACAATAAGGTCATATGTAAATGAACTACCTAAAACTCACTAAAGAACAATAACGGGAGGGAGAGTATGCACACGCACATACACACTAGCCTGATACAGACAGCAACCCTCTCCCGTGTGTTCCCCCGTGTCGGGAGGGAGAGCGGACATGAGTGCGTTGGCCCCGCCACCAGCCCCTGAGCAATTGCCTGGTCATCTGAATGTACCCCCTCCCCATGATCAGCAATGTTCTGAAGGCAGTACTGCTGATCAGGGGAGGGGGGTGTCTCTGCATGGATGCACTTTACAGATGATCAGGCAAAGGCAGGATCAGCATACTGGTGGGGGTGGTCATCTATAACAGGCTACAATTAATGTTATTTCTCTGTACTTAATGTATTACGATGAAGTTCAAAATTTAATAAACAGTTATTTAAAAAAATCTATAACAGGCTACAATGACCAATGTAACATACATTCCTAGTGCAGAAAGCTCCAGAATGTTATACTGTGAATTAGTTACTCTGACATGATTATGCTGTTCTGGGATGCTGTTCTGGGCATGGAACAGTGGTCACTACGGGTGTGGAGGGGGCTGGTATTTGTGAATTGTCCTGCATTGTGCAGGGGGTTGGACTAGATGACCTTGGAGGTCTCTTCCAACTGTGATTCTATGACTCTATGATTCAATGCTCTTCACATTATGAGGCAGCAAATCCACGACCTCTTTCAAGAAACCACAGCTGAACTCATGGGCAAACGTATTTATACTTGTATTTCCAAACATGACCGTCACATTCATAATGCTCGTCTCAACAACACTTAGTAGCTTTTGACCTAATTCTGATGGTCCAACTATCAACAGCTACAGAGACAGGGCTTTCGCCTGGCCCTGTTTTTCTGCATTTTGCTAACTGCATCATTGTCCTTTAGTACTGACAGGCTCTCAAAATGTGATCAACTTGCCATGACTATGGCCAGCCCAGGAAGAAGGGGAATACTGCTCTGTTCTTACCAGCCGTTTGCTGTACAACAAAGCTGTGCTGCTGCCACTGGAAACAGCCCACTTTGCAAAGCTGATGACATGGTCCAGCTGCCTAGAAAGCCGAGCCACTTCTTCTTGTTGCTGCAGGAGCTTCATCCAGTGTTCCTTACCAAGACACTGCAAGGCAGAAAAACAAAGTCTTGAGCTTTTGTTGTGGACTGAACGGTTGGTCCCCCCCCCCCCCCCCCCCCGATAAATTCCTGATGAATTCCCAAAAGTGACAACAAGCCTCTAACTCAAGACATGCTGCTTGGGTGAATCTCCGTTTCAAATGATCAAACACAAAAGAGTCATTCACTTTTTATTACTTCTTAATATTCAACCTGGATGGCCCAGGCTAGCCCAATCTTCTCAAGTCTTCAAGCTAGACAGGGTCAACCCTGGTTAGTATTTGGATGAGAGAAAAACAGGTTGCTTACCTGTAACTGATGATCTTCGAGTGGTCATCTGTGCAGTCACACCCATGGGATCTAGTGCGCACGCGCTGGATCAATCGGCATTGTAGCAAGCTCTTAACGGATTTTTGCGCCCAGACCTCGGGCATGCGCAGGAACCCCACCACGCATGCCCAGTGGGGTAGGCGCGGACATCCCGCCAGTTCCTTCGAACCGCCGCGAATCAACCCCTATGAAAAATGTAGAAGCTGACAGCAGCGGGGAAGGAGGGTGGGTGGTATGAATGCACAGATGACCACTCGAAGATCACCAGTTACTGGTAAGCAACCTGCTTATTTTCAGCTGGGTCTCTGTGTTGCACACCCAGGGGAGATTAGCGAGCCGTAGCCTACCTGGAGGAGGGTGCTGGCAGGTATTTTACTGCGTAGCCGAAGATAGAATGCGACGTCCCATGTTGGTATTGGTGTTTGTTTGGACGTCTAGGGCGTAGTGCCTGATGAAGGTGTTGGGGTAGCCCAGGTAGCGGCTTTACAAATGTCCGGTAAGGGTACTCCCTGAAGGAAGACAGTGGAAGTCGCGACAGCCCTGGTAGAATGAGCCCTGATAGGGCCAGGCAATGGCCGTCCAACGAGTAGGTAACATAGATGGATGAGACCTACAATCCACTTCAAAAGGCGCTGAGCTGTGATGCGAGTACCCAGCCGTGGAGAAGCATACGAGACGAATAGTTGTGAGTCTCGTCCAGGGGTCGTTTCGTAGGAAAAGAGCTAGGGGAACTCATTAGCATAACTCATTAGCAAATGCCACACCCCCTGACATAACCGGAAGTGTGTCATAAGGCCACACCCCCTGACATCACCGGAAGTGTGTCATGAGGCCACACACCCCACCCCCAATGGTCCCGGC